CAGCAGCACTGGGGACCCCAAAACGTTACTGGAAACCTCTGCAGTAGGGTCCAGTCTCCTGCCCAGTGTAGAATGCAAGCCTGAGGAAAAATACTAAAAGAACTAAGAAAGACAGAAATCAGGGGCCAGGACGAACAATGTCTGTGCAACCAACAAAGGCACTGGCCAGTCCAAGCCACTGATTTTTCTTACTAATCAATTGGGGTAAAGGTGAGCTATGTGCAAGGTCGGTACTACATGCAAGGATGTGCAGTTCTGCAGTTTCTATAGAAATTAATGTAAGCAAAGCTCATGAAGGACAAGACAAAGCATTCTTGAATTAGGTACAGAATAGACAAAATATATGGTTGTAATTAGAACATTGTCCTTCTAGTTAAGAAGGTTTTAGTTGTGGGAATGGAATTTGGTTGAGAGTTACTCTGACCTCGCCATGTAGGCTTCAGCCAGACTTGTTTCTCAAACAAGACAATTGTGGGTTCACTCTTACAGCCTGCACTGCTCAGCCTGCTTTAGGCATGATCAGTGTTGCTGTCTCCTGCAGGTGTCCACACTCGGACCCTTCCCGGTCTCCTCCCCACCCGGCTTCAGGACAGCAGACTCCCAGCTGGTTTCCCCTCCATCCACATCTGCTTCTTGGCTCGTGCCCTGCCCTCCTCCTTGCTGGAGCCTCAATTGTGGAGACCCCTCTGCTCCATCCTTAGTCCTCCTAATCACACTTCACTCCACACCCACGTCACTCACCCCGCCCCCACCAGCCCCGAGACTTAAATGCTACCTGAGAACCAGATTTATATCTCCAGCCCCAGACTCCTGTGGACACCCTAGACCTGCCAACCTGACCTCTATGTTTGAACGTCTGTGGATGTCTTATTAATTTGTGTGGGCGGAACTGCTCACTGCTCTCCAAATTCCAACTCCCCTTTCAGCAGGGACAGAGAGAAAGCTGCATACAGGGCCGGGCTATGGGTGTGACCCCCAAGCAGTCCTTTTGGGTCGGGGGGAGTAGCAGAGCTTGGAGCTCTCTCCTGGCCCGCACACAGCCTCCCTGCACTTTCCTTCAGCCTGAGTGCAGAGGGGCGTGTGACCCGGAGCTGCCCAACCCCAGGTACCCTCGCCTCTGACTAGCAACGTCCACCTTGCTGAAGTCGTTACACATTGGGGGCCCTTTGTGATACAATTTTAACCTTTCATGTTAGACAGAGAAACCGGCACCAGCGGGACAGCTCAACGGAAACCTGCATTTTCCACCATCCAGGCAAGCGTGCGGTTAGAGGACTTGGTGGGAGGACGGAGCAAGGAGTCCTTGACTCTGCTTGTGATGGGGCATCAGCGAGGGGTGACACAGCAGACCCCAGGGTGACCTGGTGTGTGGGAAGTGCTGAGGGCAGGGTGGTAAGCTGGTGACTCACTGTTTCCTTCGGTCGTTACCCACCACAGCTTGGAAAGCACAGCACACCTGTGTCGAGGGAATGCGCTTGTAAAAAGCGATGGTGTCAGTGTATCTTGCTGCTCCCTGCTTTGTGTAAGGTATCATAAGAAAGAAACAAGTTCAGGCAACAGCTGGTTGGTCCATATGCAGAAATGCAAGAAAATGAGAACTTTCAGCACTGTAGGGTTTGTCAAAGTTCAGGAAGACTGTTCCTTTTATGTCCCACACATTAATAAACACCTGGGACTTGAGCCTCGTGACAAAAGTCAGAGGAAGGGTGCTGCCCTCCCAAAGGACCTGTGACCCCAGCACGTCTCACAGTAGCCTCCACTGAGGCAGGAGTGAGGTGCGGATACAGGCAAGCACAGAAAGCAGCTGGGGCAAGGACTGGAGTGAACTCCGGCTGCTGTCTTCTGCATAAGGAACTGACTGGAAGCAATCAGATCAGAGCTGCTGAGGTTTTAAGGACACCTGGTCACCACAGAAACCGTGAGTCTGGCCTGAAAATGCCTGTCTCTGTTCCTCAGAGTAACACCCAGGCCTTTATGTTTGTGCCAGTGAGAAAGGTTGTCAGTGATGTGGCCCCCAAAGGGGGCATATACCACACTCCCACAGGCATTAACGTGGCTCACCTAAGGAAGCAGGGTGTCCTGCTCACTTTCCTGCCACTGAGACACAATACTGGACACCCACAACTTAAAGGAGAGGTTCCTTTCGGCTCATGTTTTTAGTCCATACTTGGGAGCCTCCAAGGCAGGAAGGGCATGGCAGAGGGTGTGGCAGAGGATGCTGCTCACCTCACAGTGGCCACAAAGTGGAGGGAAAAGGGAGGAGCCAGGAGGGACACCATCTTCTAGGTCAGGCCCCAGGGATACACCTCTTTCCACCAGGCCTCACCTCCCAAATGCAAGGCCACTGTAAACCCCTATAATCCAACTGCTCCTCACAATCCCTTACCCTCCGGCCCATGGGTCTTTGGGGGATCAGCCGAGTATAAGTCCTAACACAGCGTGCCCCAACTGTCTGTCCAAGCACTTCCTCCACTGCCAGAGCAGGGTCTCCAGAATTCTTGCTCAGCTGGGAGTCAAAATCACTGTGAACCAGCAGCTCCAGGTACCTTCTCTTAAAAGGTTCTTGAAAGCATGACCCTGTGTCCTTGTCAGCACCCTGCTTGTGTGGTGGGGAGCAACACCTGATGATCCGTGCCTGACAACAGCTTAACAGAGAAAACACATCTTGCTCTCCCCTCCGCCTGGACCCCACCCCAGCCCCACCCCATTAGGTCCTGGTTCAAATGTCACCTGTGCAGAGGTGACCAGGCCACTCCATCACACACCGCACCCTCAGACTTCCTGTTGCCTTCACCTTCCTTTGTCCTTTCTTTACGCTTGCTCCCTGCTAGAATACAAACTCTCAGGACAGAACTTCGTCTTCTTCCTAGCTTGTCCCAGGACCAAGAAATGTGGATGCACTGTGGGCTCCTGATGAATATTTATTGGGGAAAAAATCCAAGTAGTTATGAGCTGCTAATTTCTGAATGTTTGAAGTTAGGTTTGTTTGATTCTAGTCTACTGTTTATCTGTACCACCCCGTAACCAATGACAGATAGTTATTTGTGCCTGAGAACAGTGGGGTGACCTATGAGATGGCATCACATGGTGGGACCCCACATGGAAAATTCTGTCATACTGGATGAATAGGTACTGCTGAAAGCAAGGCATTCAATCTCACTTTGCTCGTTGTCTTAAGTCAGGTTGTGGGGCTGAGGCTGCCCCTCGCTGGAAGAGCGCTCACTTAGTGTGTGTGAGGCCCTGTGTTTGGCCCCAGGCTTGGTCTCTGGCACCGGGAAAAATGATAAGATAATAAGATGCCACCCACCCCTGGCGGAACGCCACCTCTTTCTTTGAATGATCACTGCTGGTCATAACTGCAGTACAATAAGCAGCCTAACCGTGGAAGTCCAGGAATTCCTTATTCCATGATCCAACAAAAACTGACAATCAGCCCCCACTTAAGGGAGAAGTTAATGTTCACAGGCAGAGTTCAAATCAATCCACTCCCATCTGTTTAATCTCACTGCACTGATGCCTGGTGCCAGGCCGCGTGGGTACAGGGACATGGAGAGAGCACAGGTGCTGCCAGTGCCCCCCTGTGAGAAGCCATCTCCTGGGACCCAGAGCGTTGGAGAGTCGATTGTGGTACAGGCTACCAACAGCTCCTCTGGGCATCTGCCGAGCTCAGGGTCAGAGTCGGGTCCTGGGTGGGGAGTGGGGACCCGCCCCTCGATGTGAAGCAGGGAGATGAATGGGCTGCTCTCCAGGCCGAAGGAAACAACGGGGGTGGGGGTGGGGGTGGGCATCGCCTTCTGCTTCAGACCACACCCCATGGGCCCCCTCCGTCCTCCGCTCTCCTTCTGCCTCCAGCTCTCTGACCTGGAGCTTAGCTCTCCCCCAGTCATCACTGCTCCAGCAGAGCTTATTTTCGAATCCAGTACAGAACAGTAAACAAAGAAAACAACGGAGAGGTGGCCAGCGGGGGCTGGACCCAGGCCTGCCCCATACTCACAAAATCTGATTTTCTGCAGGAAAAATATTTTGACTTCTACATTTTTGGACCTCATTAGAAGGATCTGAAATGGATGACACCAAGCTGTTTGCCTAAAATAATGTCCTAGGCCTGAACTGGCACGGATGTGTCCCGAGATTAAAATAGAAACTTGTTTTGCTGACAGAAAACAACTTGGAAATCAAAGAGTGGTTTAAGTTGGAACCGTTCTTTTGCCTTTGCTTGCCGAAAATTCCTGTTTTTACACATACTGAGGTCAGGATAGGAAGGTCACCATGCTGCAGAACTTTCCATTAACAAATTGATTTTGCAGAAATCTCAAAAATAGAAGATGGGGAAAGCTGCGTAACGCAGCAAACTCAATCCACGGACGTTTGTGAGCACCTGCTCTATGCCTGGCCCTGTCCTAGGCCCTAAACAAGGCACCCGGCCTCGTGGGGTTCGCATTCTAACACGAAGAATGCACACTCGCGGGAGACAAGAAGATGCGTGGACAGGGCCCACGTGGGCCGCTCTGCGGTGACTGAGCAGAGCCCGAGGGAAGTTAGCGCGGATCCCGCACTGTCTGTGACCCCCTTGGGGTCGCGTCGCCCACCAGCTCCACGCCCGTCCCACCCACCTGCTC